GAGGAGGTGACGAGGTGGCGACTTCGGTGTAAGTAGACCTCGGTGGATATTGGTCATTTCGGTCTTTGATAATGTAGACCGGTTCTTTGTGTGAGTCGGTACGGTTTCGGATCACGTCGGTTCAACAGGTAATTGTACTTAACAAGATGTTTAAACCCTCTTAATGGTGATTTACCGAGTCGGATGATAACAGGTAGTAAATGGGCAAAAATTGATGAGTAGTCAACATGCTGCAGATTTTACTTGGGAAATGCATGGAAAACCATGACATATTCATTAAGAGTACTACAGAGTGAGGGCAGTAACATGATCCTAGGTGGTGATTGGCTCAAATCTTGTACACCTATTGAATTGGACTATAAGGTCATGACTGTGACTATCAGTACCAAAGGGAAGAGGCTTAGGATGCAAGCATTAACTCATGAGGCTGAGTGAAATTTAATATCAGAACATTCTCTTTACAACATGTTGATTTGTGAAGAAGCAAACCAGATAGAGGAGGTGTATATCTTAACCATTGAGCCTACTAGCAAGGTTATTTAGGGGGCACTGTCATTATTACTGAAAGAGTACCATGATGTGTTTCAGGAACTCCAAGGTCTCCCTCCTGAGAGGGGGATTGAACATCAAATTTTACTTAAACCTGACAGCTTACCTAAGCAACAATACCCCTACAGGGTATCACATGATCAGAAAGATATCATTGATGGCATTGTGGAGGAGATGTTGAAATCAAGCATTATTCAAACCATCAAATCTCCATTTGCCTGACTAGGACTCCTAGTAAAGAAGAGGGATCAGACTTGGAGACTATGCATTGATTACAGATATCTCAATGGGTTAAATGTTAAGCATGACTATCCAATACTTGTGATTGAAGAGTTACTGGATGAATTGCATGGTGCTACATGTTTTTCAAATATTGACTTAAGGTCTGGCTATTTTCAAATCTTGATGAGGGAAGAGCATATATACTTAACAGATTTTAGGAATCATAGTGGGCACTATGAGTTCCTAGTCATACCATTTGGGCTTTGTAATGCCCCAGCTACTTTTCAGTCCCTCATGAATCAAGTTTTCAATGAGTGCTTAAGGAATTTCACTTTGGTCTTTTTTATGACATTTTGGTTTATAGTAAGTCTGGGAAAAATCATTTACAACATCTAAAGGTTGTCCTACAGTTGTTAAGAGAGAATTCCCTTTTTGCTAAACAAAGTAAGTGCAGTCTTGGGGATGACATAGTGAAGTACTTAGGGCACATAATTTCTGCAGAAGGAGTTTCAACTGATCCTAAAAAGTGGAGAGCATGGTGAATTGGCCTACACCCATTACAGTGAAACAATTGAGGGGATTTTTGGGTTTAACTGGCTACTATAGAAGGTTCATTAGAGCGTATGGAGAAATTAGTAAGCCACTTACTACTTTTTATAAAAAAAGGATCAGTTCAGGTGGGACAAGAAGGCAAATGAGGTTTTTGACACTTTGAAGGGTGCAATGATGACAACCCCAGTTTTATCACTACCTGATTTCTCACAACCATTCACTTTGGAAACAAATGCTAGTGGTTATGGAATAGGTGCAGTACTAATGCAAGGAGGAAGACCCATTGCTTTCCTCAGTAAAGCTTTGTGCCAGAAAATCAGGCATTGTCAGTTTATGAGAAAGAATTTCTAGTTGTGTTACTAGCAGTTCAAAAGTGGAGGGGTTATCTACAGGAGCATAAATTTATCATCAGGACATACCAGCAATCCCTAAAGTACATCTTAGACCAGAAGGTGGTTTCTACATGGCAACAAAAGGGTATTATTAAATTGCTGGGTTTGGATTATGAAATCCAATACATGAAAGGAAAGGACAACAAAACAGCAGATGCCCTTTCCAGAGTTCAAATGAATCCAACTGATTGTGCTACTATCACTTCAATTGTGCCTAAATGGATGCACGGGTGGTGAACAGTTATGATGAGGACAAATTCCTTAAGGAGCTCAGAGAAAAACTCATGCTATCACCTAATTCAGACCCACACTATAAATTTCAGGGAGGAATCGTCAGATACAAAGGGAGGGTATCAATAGGGGATAACTCTAAACTCATGCAAGATTTAATTTGTAGCGCCCCGTTAGAATTATGGATTTTTCCCGGACTATATGGATTATTGTATGTTATTTTTATTTACTAATTTCGTGTAATTCCGGTATTGCTTGACTCTTTTCGTTTAGACTTATTATTATTTAATTAGATGCTCGTGTCTAATTAATATAATAAGTCGTGTATTTATTTTTCGTTGTCAGTCGAATCGATCGAGAATTCTTGTTAATCGCGTATATTTTATTTTCAGCCCAAAGCGATTTAATTCTAGCCTATATGAATAATTCGTAGGCCTTTTTGCCATTTCATTTCTGGTCCAATGAATTGAATGTTTTCAGCCCATTTGGTTTTTCAATCTGACCCATTTGAGTTAAATTCATCGGCCCACTTAGAGATATTTAAATTAGACTAGTTGAGTTATTTATGTTTGGGCCAATTGAGGACGAGATCCACAGCTTCTCCTTCTTATTTTTTCCGCACGTGAGACTGACCAGGTCCATCACCCACATTCGCCGTTGCGATTTTCTTATGCAATTTTTCTGGCCACAATCGCTCGATGATGGCTCACTCATCTCTTATAATCCGTACCGAAGACAACTTCCACATTCATCAGATAATTTCATCTCTTTCGTTTGCAAGGCCTGTTCATCCTTTAAAAAAAATTATATTTCTCGTCGTCGAAGAATCTGTTCGAATCCTTCTTTTCCGAGCAGCTTGGCCGTCGGCGACCACCATCTCATCTCAGGCGGTCTTTAGACGTGACCCGTGTCATAGGCCTGCAACCACGTTCTCTTCGAGTTCCAAGCAGCAACACCCATCCACCATATTTTTCGGCGACCCCGCTCGCAAGCAGCCGCGCTGTCTGTTTTCCATCGCCGGCGTCCTCTCCGAGAGCAGTAACCTGTTTGTGGATAGCATCCCTGCTTTGTCGAGCCGCGCGGGGTTCGAAGGATTTCATATTTTCGAGTTTCGAGTTCTGGTCGCCCATTCGTCTGACCCATTTCAGAGACCTCGTAGATTCCTGAAGACGGGTAATCTATTTCGAACCCTTTTTTCATGCTCATATTTATTATCTCGGCGGATTATATCGTTTCTCGTTGGATTTAATATCGGATCGTTTTGTCCGTTCGTTGAATTGTTAATTTGTCGTGGATTTTCAGAACTTGCTTGTTGTGACTGTTGTGATTAATCTGTATGTATCTAGCCTTGGCGCTGCTTTTTTATCGTTTTATTTTCTGGGCCTCGTTTTATTTTTCTGTAGCCTATGTTGGTTGTTGTAAATTTTCATGCTGGAGCGGCCTTGTTCTGCCTTCGGATATCTGTGGAAAAATTTGATTCCGTAGTTATGAGTTAGCCTTGAGAGATTTCATAAAACTCTAGCTTTTCTTTAGCCTCTGTTGGAGAGTTTTTATGCTTCAAAGTTGAATTATTTGAGTAGGAAAAACATGATTTGGATACCTCAACCGCATAGAAACTTTGGACAGTATTTTTTTTGTTTGATAAATATATATTATATCAAGATGGCCATGAGTTTTAGCCCCTCTTTTCGAATTCTTTTAGCCTCGGCTATGTGATGTTTGACCCCTAGAAGTTATTGTTTCGTTGGCCAAATATATGCGTTAATAAAAAATGGTTTCATTTTAGGAAATATCAGATTCAATTTTTGAGTTGCCGAGTTTTTTTTCGATATCCCTGAGCTTGTTTTGGAGCCGAAACTTGATTTTAAAATCCGATACATTCTTCCGAGTCCTATTTTCAAAATGTGAGAGTTCCAGGTCCACGAAAAATCCGATTAAAACCCTTAAATTCTTAATTTTGATTAAGTATGGGTTTTGAAGTATTCTCAAGTAATGAGATAGATTATTGATAATTATATCGCTTAATGCAGGTGTTTGAGGAGTCGAGCCCTCGGCCTACTTTCCGCTACTTGTTGTGTTTTGTCATTCCGGAAATACCAGGTGGGTTGATTTTATGAATATCTATGTTGTAAATAATTGATGATATATGTAAGGTATGATCAATGTATGCATGTGAACCATGTAGCCTTCGATGCGAGCTGTACCGGCCGTCGAACGGTTATCCCCGTAGCTATAGAACGGACCCCATTGGGGTAATCTCCACTTTTCGCCAGTAAGACCAGGGCGGTGCTCAGCTGACGGGAGAGATACTCCTACTGTTTGGGCATCGTGGTAAGGCCTGAGCGAAGACATTCGATACGTGTATCAGCAGTAGTCTATTGATATATGTGTGCACATGAGACTATTTATGACTTTGGATATGAGATGGGATAGTAAATTGATTCGTATCCATGTTGCGACCATACTTGTCCTATATTGTTTATTATTTACGTGCATAGTGGTGAGTAAGTTGATATTTGTGCTCATCCCCATGTCCCCCCCAGATGCAGATTAAGCAGGTTGCGGGCACGACAAGGCGAGTGGTGGTCGGTCTAGATTACTAGACCACTGTTTGCGTTGCTTCTGCTTTTATTTGAGACTTATTTACGTTTATGTGTATTTGTGAACTCTAGATAATTTGATGTTTTGATACATTGTTGGGGAGATGCTCCGTTTGACATTGTGATGTCTTATTTCGAAATTTGGAAACCCTGTTTCGGTGTTTGATGACTTGGATGAAACCCTTTATGGGTGTTGATTATGTTATAGTGTCATTGTTATGACTTTATTTATGAAAATGATTTGAAAATAAATGATTAACGCCACAAACGTTTGAAATGAATTTTGGAAAATTTTAATTGATTTTCTAAAAAGCCATGAATTTTCGTTAAATCAAAGTGGGGCGTTACATAATCTCTACAATGCATGATTCTTACTATGGGGGACATTCTGGTATACTGGGAACCTACATGAGGTTGAAGAAATCCTTTCACTGGCCTAAAATGAAGATGGATGTGACTCAATTTATGCATAAGTGTGATATCCACAGAATAAACAAGCCAGATCATGAACTTGTGCCAGAGTTACTGCAACCAGTTCCCATACCTAATGAATCTTGGCCACATGTCTCAATGGACTTCATTGAGGGTTTGCCTAAGTCAGGGGGTAAATACTATATTTTGTTGGTGGTAGACAGACTAACTAAATATGGGCACTTCCTGGCACTCTCACATCCCCTATACAGCTTCAATGGTGGCTAAGTTTTTCATGGACAATATTTATAAACATCATGGTCTACTAGCTTGCATTATAACTGACAAGGACAAGAGTTTTACTAGCCTATTCTGGAAGGAACTATTCAAGATGATAGAGGTCACTTTAAGCTTTTCATCGTCCAACCACCCTCAGACTGATGGTCAGACATAGAGGCTTAATTAGTGCCTTGAAAATTATCTGAGGTGTATGGTTCATTATTCACCTAAGAAATGGTATAGCTGGCTTACCCTAGCTGAGCATTGGTACAACACCAACTATCACTCAAGTCTAAAATCTACCCCTTTTGAAGCTCTCAATGGGTACTCTCCAACATCCCTATCTATTAGTGCCTATCTGGATTCACAGAATTATGATGCCAAGGAGTTTTTACTACAAAGGCAGATGATGATGCAAGGATTAAAGAAAAACCTACTGAATGCTCAAAACCGAATGAAGATATATGCTGACAAATCCAGGGCAGAGAGAGATTCAATGTGGGGGACTGGGTTTACCTGAAATTGCAGCCATATCGGCAGAACTCAATACATATGAGAAAGAACCTCAAGCTCAGTTCTCAATTCTTTGGGCCCTACAAGGTCATAGAAAAGATTGGTAAGGTGGTTTATAAATTAGATCTGCCGGAAGGATCGAGAGTCCACCCAGTGTTCCATGTCTCTTTATTGAAAAAGAAAATGTGGGGGGAAGGACTTAGCTGTTAGTCAGTTGCCTGCCACTGGAGAGGACAGGCTCTGCAAAGCTGAGCCGACTTAAGTCTTTGACCACCGAGTGATACAGCAAGGTCGGGATGAGGTGCCACAACTTCTGGTAGCTTGGGGAAACAAAACCCTAAGTCTCAGTTCGTGGGAAGATGAGAATTTCATTCTGAAGAAGTTCAAGGATCTTGATCCTTGGGGACAAGGATCTAAAAATGGAGGAAGAAATGTCATGAATTCTCAGGGAAATGGGATTGAAGATGAAGGAGGTGCGAAATTGATTTTCGAAAAAAAAATGGGAAATTTTTGGACAAAAGATCGGGTTTTGGCTAAGGCAGAGAGAGGCTTTTTTATGCCGACACGTGGGACAACTGGGGCCGTGGATTCAAACGAAAATGAAGAAGATCCGAACGTGCACGTGGCAGAAGCTTAGAGTGAAGATTGATTATATAATCCGCATATTTTATTTCTATTTTATGTTTTTATTATTATTATGTTGGTTAGTTATGCATATGGAAATGTAATTTACCCATGTGGGTAAAAAGTGGGCAAAGACCAAATAATATTGGTTAAGTATGAGGAAAATGAAGGAAAATGGTAGTTTGTTATGCCAAAAATATTCTTTCTCTCACTCTCTCTCCTTTATCGTTCTCATCTCTCTCACTCTCTCCTATCTATCTTTATCTTCATTACTCCCTTAAATTCTTTTAAAAATACAAAAAAATAAATACAAAACTCATAAATATAAGCTAGATCGTGACAAAGTTTCATCTGGGCAATTGGTATGAACCGAGAAGGTTATTCGCAAGAGAGTTTCAATACTCACGGGACTATGCGAGATGGTGCACAAAGCAGTAGACAAAGTGACCATGTTTCACATCGTGGAGACACGTCAATCTCAATGACAAAGTCCATGACGAACACACCCTCGTCAACTTATCTCACAACATTTGTAATCGCTTGTCCAATTTGTTTTTTTACTATTTTTGACTATTTTCGGAATGTTATGTCTTGTAGCTCTAGTTAAATATATTAGGTCATGAAAAGTTGTACGTCTCTTGTTCTTGATTGTGCTCCCAGAATTTGTTTTGTAAAAAAAAAATGACTGAAAATCCTATTTACGGGCGTTTTTATTGTCTCCAATGTTGATTTTCGTTTTTTCTTTGATGTGGGAGTGTTTATTACTAATGATAGGGCCATGAATGTTAAATGAAATAACCATGCAATATTTCTAGCCTAAAATACTAGTACGACGAGGCATCAAAATTAAAAATTGGTGCGTCTCAGTGCATGGAAATGATTTTTTTTTCCTGTATCTGCATGAGAACACATAATAACAAAAAACAAATTTTTTTCTTCTATTTTTTTTAATCTAACAAGGCATTGCAATTAATGGCCGACAAGGTTCTTGAGCTGCAGTCAGCACATATGATATGGCGGGGGCAGATGTAACAATTGGATACATATCTAGTAAAAATACTAGTTAAATTGCATTCTATTTGATAAACAATCACACTCTTAATAAACCCATTTTATCAAAAGAATAACCATAAATTTTATAGTGAGAATTAATCAAGTTCAATCAATAA